CCCCTAAGGCCATCACAGACCGTGACAGAGGGACTCCAGAGACCATCACAGACTGTGACAGAGGGGCTCCAGAGACCATCACAGACCGTGACAGAGGGACTCCAGAGACCATCACAGACCGTGACAGAGAACCCTCTCCCCCCGAGATCATCACAGACCGTGACAGAAGGACTTCAGAGACCATCACAGACCGTGACAGAGGGACTCCAGAGACCATCACATACCGTGACAGAAGGACTTCAGAGACCATCTCAGACCGTGACAGAGGGACTCCAGAGACCATCACATACCGTGACAGAAGGACTCCAGAGACCATTACAGACCGTGGCAGAGAACCCTCAGAGACCGTCACAGACCGTGATAGAAAATTAATAATCATTACAGACTGTGACAGAGAAGCTCCAAACCCATCGCAGACCGCGACAAAGAGACTCCAGAGGCCGTTACAGGCCGTAACAGAGAACCTCCAGACACCATCACAGACCGTGACAGAGAATACCTAAACCCTTCACAGACTGTTACACAGAAACTGTAGTTTTGGAAGATTAAAACAAACGATAAGCTAGAAATCTATCATAAAGAAACGGAAGAAAACGAAGTCCGTTTAATTAGTAACAGTAGGTCTATCGTGTTTCACATTTTTAATCCCGCAAGGGATTGCGCTAACAGCTTTTATGTATATTTTGATTTATTCTGAATAATTTATTTCTAGGAAGATGACAGAACAGTCATCAATTCCATTTTCAGAACATTTGGATGCTTACATATGTATTTACATGCTCTTACTTCATTGAATACACGAATTTTGTCTATTCTACAATCAATTCCACTTCATGTTATCATCCTAAACAGTCATTTCGGTCGAGAAATCTATTTTCTTTCTTCTCATCTCATTTTTCATGCTCATCAAGTCGGCTCACTATATATTTATGATACAATTCGTGATCGTTCATCTAGTATCAGTTTACTATTTAATCAACATCAATTTATTAATCTTCAATCATGTATATTCATGTCGGTTAATCCATCAACTAAACTTGAAAATGTTATTAAACAAGTTGAAAGTTCGAATAGACTTATTTCATTTACGATCAAACAACCAAATGATAAAAATATGAATGAAAACAACAAATGGGATTTAACTCGAACTATATTGATACACAAGTCATCTTATCTTCGTTCAGTTGTACTTAAATATCCTTATGATTACGTAGATGTATCAAATTATATTTCAATTGTTTCGAATACTACATCACTTAATTTGTTAATGTTTGTCTCACACAATACACTGTCAGTTTATTCAATTTTGCCAATTCTTCGTGTTTGTTATAGAATAAGATATCTATATACGATAATAAAACATGAAGTTCTATTTCAAAATAATAATGTAAAGTAAGTTGCAAGGAAAATATTAAACGAAAATTCTGTATAAGATAAGATTAAAAATCAAATTCTTTTTCTTTTAGTGTTTAATTGAAACGCCACCTATTAATGAAAATGATCTTCCTATATCACCACAAATGACATCCTTCGATTCAACAATTTTTGCTGTATGTGACAGTCGTGCAATCGCTTATATTTTACGTTGTATGCCTAATCTTATTCGTTTTATTTTTCTTTATGCAAGATGTTGATGATATGGTCAACGGTTATGTATGGTAACAAATGTTAGAAATGCATCTTCCATTTTTATGCAAATTTGATTTTTAAATGTTAATTATGAAAAGATATCCAAAATTAGATATAGACATGGTCGAAAATTCATCTGAATATTTTATTCGAAAATATTCTAATTGGTACATGATTATTGATCGATGGACATCTAATGCCAAAATTCCACGTAAGTAAAATTTGTTTAAATCATAAAAAAATAATATAAACTAACTACTGCTTACTCAAAGTTATTTTGAGACTATAATAAATAGTATCTATCGTTTCGATTGATTTTAATGAAGTGCATCTGTACGTTAAGACTGCCCCATGTGTTTCGCTTTTTCGGACGTGACAATCAACATCTTTTTGACTTTTGGTATTTCATAAATAGACATACATTGAATGACCCTCTATCTATCTGTAGCAAAAATATTCTTTTGACAAAGTTTCAACCTCGATAGAAACTATTTTGGAGACCTGCTATCTCGGAAAACTCGACGTCAAATAGAAAATTCAAACTGGAGATGAATTTCAGTCGATCTGGTGTTTTTCTCTTATTACAGAGAATGTACAACAATAAAAAGTACTCTGAAGGGGAAAAAACCCTTTTTCAGGATTAGGTTGTAGTGGAGAGGCTATGGTATGATTGTCGGATCAGTAGCATTACGTATTCAGTAGATATTTACTATCTAATCACTTAAAACAGCCTCTTTGATAATCCAAAATTCTTCTTTGATTCATTTATTATTCGTATGGGAGATAGCAATCGAATCAAATCGAACTTTCGTTTCTTTAATCTGATGCTTTTATAAAATATCGACGCAGATGTCGTTACCTCAGCTTAATATAGAAACCAAAATAAAATCATAGTCTTTCTTAGAAAATCAAATTTTTCATATCAGGTACCAATGTTTTAGTTTTTAACGAAATTTTTTTTGCTGTAATCAACATTGGTCAAAATTGAACTTATCTGTACGCATACTTGTCTTTACGATTGTCTCTTTGTGTATGACTGTGGTTATTGTCATTCATTATTTTATTTCTACTTCACATGTTTCAATTTGAACATGTGTGATAATATTATACTAATAATATCTTTTATTTTCAGGTGCCACCAAATAAAATTTTTATTCCGGACGAAGAAATCAAAGTGAGTAAAATGAAATCTTGATAGATATCACCGCGGAGCGGTTTTAATTAAAATTATTCATAATTGCTTCTTTGCTTTAGATTGACGAAAATATTGTTGAAGAAATCGACGATTTTCTAGGTGGTGATGCCTCACCCGTGTTGATGGATAACGGGGAAGGGGTTATGTTGGGTGAGGATCACCACCTAGTCGATTTCGATTTTGTGGACGAAAATGATGGTGAAGAAGAGGTAAAAGAATTAAAATAGAGCAAATAGATGAATTATTATTTATTTATTTAGACCGAAGAAACTGAAAACAATCAACGTACATCATCATGGCTTGATGTTGAAGATACCCACCCTCATCAATTATTCCATGTACAAAATCAACATGCACATCTTGAAGAACAAATAAGTGGGCCACAACCAATGGGTGTGGGTGGGCGTGGGTGTGGGTGTGGGTGTGGATGTGGGTGTGAGTGTGAGTGTGGGTATGGATTCATTGAATATGAACACCCACACCCACACCCACACCCACCCACACCCACACCCACACCCACACCCCAGCCACACCCACACCCACACCCACACCCAGCCACACCCACACCCACACCCACACCCTCAAGATTATATATTAAAGTAATTAGTTAACGACACTATTTATTATATTATTAATTCTTATTCATGATATATAAATTAAGATTGGCAAGATCGTTTTCTTTTTTTTTTTTTATTTAGGCATCATCTTTTAGTTCCGACGAATAAATTCTTATTATTCTTTTCAGTTATTGAATCACTTTCAAGAAATAAAAAATGAATAATAAAAAATTTTGAAAGAAATAAGTATGTTTTTCTCAAAAAAAAATTTTCTAATTTTTTTTTTGTTTAGCATAGTGCAAATAATATGTTGTAATCTCAATCAAACAATAAATGATTGGAAGGTTTATTAATGTTTTCTTTGCAATAATTTCAACTTTTCCCTTTATTTTAGTTATATTATTCAAATATAAGATCATCTTTGTTTATTTATTCCTAACAATTAAAATTTTCATTTCAATACAAAGTATTTTAAGAAAGAAAAATTTTGATCAATTCGATTTTTTTAATTTTTGGACTGATTAAATGACGAGAATATTGCTGAAATTAAATATGAATGTGTCTTGACAAGCAAAATTAATATTTTATATCTCTTATTAAAGTTCTGATTGTAAAACTTTTTGTCATGATTAAGTATATATTTTATTTTTATTTTTATGCTTGTGTTCTATTTAAATTAATCGATTAAAAGATCTAGTAAATACATTTAAACAAATCAATATCAGAAGTCAATTATATTAAAATATTTTCTCTAGTAAAAATCAAAAATATAATGAAAGATTAAATAAAAATAATCTTTAGTCAATATCAGTAAATAAAATTCAATTTATACTGAAGACTTGATTTTTATGTAGAAAATAATAGAATATTCGAAATTCTTGTTTAACAAATAAATGTAAAGATTCACACTTAATATTATTTTAAATACAAAAACAAAGATATGTCATTTTCGTTGAATAGAAAATACTTCACGGTTTTCTACTTGTTTTATCAAAATTTTTCATCTGCTTTTTGCAGCTGAGAGAAAAAGAGAAAACATATGTTGTCTGTACTGAAAAATACATGTGGTACTAGTCTTTACTGATCTTCTATTGAACTAATTCAATAATGATGATGATCAATAGAAAGAAAAAAATCATTATTTTGATTAATATCTTACATTTTTTTTTAATTTTAGTTTTGCATAGAGTAAAAAAGAGAAAAATGATTATTTTTATCAAAACAAAATAGATGAATATCAATAGATGTTTGACATACTTTAAAACAAACTAAATATGATTTAAATATTTTAACTTCGAATAATCATTCCTATTATTATCTTAATTATTAAGGTTACTATTCTCATCATTCATTTTTTTTTTTATTTTAATATATTTTACTATTTTTACTATCACTCGTTTTTGATGAATAATTCACATCATCATCATCATCCCATTAATATTATAATCAAAATCTTTTTTTTTTCTTCATATATATGTTGTGGCCGAAGTTGGGATGCAGCCTGATTCGGAATTCGTCCAGTCGAAATTGGAATTCTAACTTCATCTGGACTAAAGTGGAATTCTAAGTTCGACTAGACGAAATTGGAATTGTTTTTTAATGAATATTAAACGGTAAAAGATGAATAAAAAAATATTCATAAATTTGTTTGTGACAGTGAGAGTGTGAAAACAGCTAACGCGTCTTCTTCTACCAAATGTCACTCACAGAAAGGAACCTTTTCTAACATCAAGTATCCCCTTCCCCAAAAAATAAGAAGGCATGGCCTTCCATTCCGAAAATTTACATCGTTCTTTCAAA